CAATAAAGCAGAACGAGATATAAACAAGATAAAGATACCAAATGACCACTCTATTTGGAAAATGATGACAAAGGAGGGATTCAGATAGGGCAATTGGTTCCCAAACAAAAGAAGAGACACGTCACCTCAAAATGGAAACAATGAACAATCACCCGACTTTTAAAAAGGGTGTATCTCGTTCCTGAATTTCATGAAGCTCAATATAGAATTAATACCTCATTTCCATGTGTAGGGATAATAGAGACAAAACAGTGGTCTACCTGGCAGACATAATAGAGCGCCAAGTGCTGGGACTTTCCAAACAAAACATGATGGAACACAAAAAGGGCAGTACTTAATCAGGCATATGGCCACGAAGTAGGCTATGGGGCACGAAGTACCAGAGTCACCTGACTTTTAAAAAGCGGAAGATTCGAATGAAATAGACATTTGCCAGATGAAGTGCAATCAATCATAAGGGAAAATCCCTCTCTCTGGCTAAGGAAATACGACGGAATGAAATCATTAGATTTGCCATAAAATTGATGTATACCGTTCCTAAAATGAATCCTATTGAGTATGAAAATAACTTGTTCCATCTCTATGAATAAGGCAAGGCACCCATCTCCAAATGAATTTTGATGATACCCAAATTATCATTTGTATAATATCTACATTGTCTAAGTGCAGATATATTCAAGGGACTGAGTGATACTCATGGTGTAATTCATTGAAGAAAAGATCACAAGACTGTCTTTGAAGAATCATTTAAATAGCACTATTAATCACAAAGATCAGCTAAATGACGATGTCTCGTTGAAGCTGAAAAGATCAAGTAAATGGTAATATTTAGATAACGGATCATTTAAAATGACTGTTGCCTCACTATTATAGCCGTTGTTGACTGGATGTACACCGCACAAGATCCGGTAGAGAGAAGAATAGGTAGTCTGACAGATTGTCAGAACTGAAGCTACAAAACAGCAGTAGAAGCTATTTCAGAAAAGTCTGCAGGAGTTCCAGAGTAGGTTGTATGAGCAGTCAGTTCTTAGAACAGTAGCACCAACGGCTCTAACGGCTATCTTGCCTCTCTAAGATATCATCAACGACCATATTGAAGATGCATATAAAAGAGAAGGTCTTTTGAAGTTAATAAGTTAGAGAGAGAGAGAGAGTACTCATAAAATTCTTGAAATCTACTACTCGCTGTGTACTGAGCAAAAAGCTCATGTCTGTCGATAGCACTTGCTGCATTGTAATTGTGTTGAAAGATCAAGTGTACTAAGCAATAGCCGCACCCAACTCCTGATAGTGTGATCTATCAATTGTTAAGAGTGGTGTACGCTGAGTATAACTTCTTTAGCATTTACTAGTGCAATCCAACCCAACTTGTGGCTGTTAGTGGTGAGAATAGAGGTAGGCTTGGAATCAAAGCTAAATCACTATATATCCTTGTGTGCAACTGCTTATTCTTCTATATATCATTTCTAGCACACAAGTGATTCATTGGCTCTCATACATCTGGTGAAACTCGATATCTATTTGTTGCACGTTGTTTTTCGTAAAAGTTTTTAAAACATCATAAGCAACCTATTCACCCCCCTTTAGGTTGCATAGTTAGTCCTAACAATTGGTATCAAAGTCCTGTTGCTCGTTTTTGGAAGTGTATATCTTCTGAGTATAAATATCTTCTCTTACGGCTAACTTTGGTGGTTTTATCACTAGTGATGCTCTTGCTCTTAGCAAGCCGCCTTACTTTAATAGAAGCAACTACAGTTACTGGAAGAACATAATGCAAGCCTATCTTGAGGCAACTAATGTGACATTCTGAATTTCGACCCACTTTTGGGATAAATGAAATGTGTATATTCTTCGGTGCATTCGTAGTTAAATCTCACCCGGAACTGATCATTCTCGGAATACTAACCTTTAGGGAATGGCTACCTAGGGAAATGTACGTGGACCTAAGAACTCGACCATGAGTCGACATTCCGTGACGATCGAGGTCGCCATGACTTGAGTAACCGCAGGTCGATACGCGTAAACCCTAAAAAGCTGCCCGTTAGTTAGAGATACACTAAAATCGCGTTTGAGTGAAATTGGCCGTCAATTGAATCCGAACTTGGATGTCGAATTTCTCGAAGTGTCACGACTAATTTATTTGAATGACGTCACATAAGCGTGGCCAACCTTAAGGTTTATTGAATTTAGCGGAAAGTGAAATTTGGACCGGGAATTGGAAAAAGATCATTTTACCCCTGGGATTATTTGAATTCCTTTGAAGGGTTGAAGGGCAAATTGGAAATTGGCATTTTCCCTCCAATGGCCAAAGATAGAGGACCATTGTGCCCCTCCCTCCTTGCATAATTCTTTTGCTTGCCATTTATTATTTTGGGTAATCGGTTGAGAGGAATTTTGTGAGCCCTAGGATCTTGTCTTGCCCAACAAGATGCAATGTGATCCATTGGATGAGATAGTGGGGTTGGTATTGGGGTTTAAAGTGGGGTTAGAAGACTTGTCTCTCTCTATCTCTTTGTCATTTGATAAAAATTCTCCTCTTGCTCTCTCTCTCTCTCCATCATCTCTCTCGGCCAGTTCCCCCTCCTCCCCTTTGCGTGAGCAGCTGCTTGCTCTGCCTGAGCCAGCCACCGTCTCAGCCCGTCTTTGCCGGAACCGCCGTCCGCCCTTGTTGCTGATCCGCCGGAGCCGTTGCTGCTTGCTTAGCTTGGATTTGCTTAGGTTTTTCCCTAGTAAGTGGCATTCTAAACCTTGTCTAAGCTAAGGGGTTACCAATGGGCTTACTAGGGGTTGATTAGTGGCTGTGGTTAGTTGGTTTAAGGGCTAGACAAGTAGATTTGCTTGTTGGTTGTGTTCCCGGATTTCGTTACTACTGTGTCGCCGAGTTTGGCTATTTTTTACGAGACCTGTGTGGGCCGATTCTGGGGTAATGTCCTTCATAAAATTTGTTCAAAACATCTTGATGTATAACATAATTTAATTTGGAAATTTTTGAAAGTCATTTCATGCCATTCGGAAGTTCATCTTTGGACCAAAATTAGTCTGCCGGAAACACTGTTCCTCCGACCTTCGGGTCTATTCGAATTTTTATAAATTTTTCCAAACCTATTTTCAAAATACTTCCTTCACAAAAATTGTTGGAGACATTTGTGGTTATGACATGTAAAAATTTCAAACGAGACCTGTGTGGGCTGATTCTGGGGTAATGTCCTTCATAAAATTTGTTCAAAACATCTTGATGTATAACATAATTTAATTTGGAAATTTTTGAAAGTCATTTCATGCCATTCGGAAGTTCATCTTTGGACCAAAATTAGTCTGCTGGAAACACTGTTCCTCCGACCTTCGGGTCTATTCGAATTTTTATAAATTTTTCCAAACCTATTTTCAAAATACTTCCTTCACAAAAATTGTTGGAGACATTTGTGGTTATGACATGTAAAAATTTCAAAGCTTTCTAAGGAGATTTGGTTACTGCTTAAAATGCATTTTGAGATCCGGATGGCCAGTCCGAATGAAATATTTTATATCTGATTTTGGGTGACAAAAAGAGATGGTTATAGGCAGAACTGGGTTTTGTGTTCCTCATAAAAAATATTCATCAGGATGTTGTCTAGGACATATCCGAAATTCATAATTTTTGGAGTTGAATTAATATTTATTTTAAAAGGAATTCCAGAACTGTGCACTGACCCAGATTTGCACCGATTCTGTGTATTCGGTTTTCTCTTCCTCTTGTGGCTGAGTTGTGGTGCTTGGTGGCTGAGTTGAATGTTGTGGTGCTTGGTGGCTGAGTTGAATGTGGTGATGCTTGGTGGCTGAGTTGAATGTTGTGATGTGTGGATTTATGACATTGAGTGTATAGCTTGAATTGTGGATTGAAAGGTATGGGAATGATTGAGTGATATGGTTGAACTACATTGCTGCCCTTATGAATGGATTGGTTAAGCTGAGTTGTTGATTTGGAATTGAGCATGTTTGTGTGTGATTAGGGCATATGGATGTTGTGTGAGGGGAATGAGATATGTATCGTGTATGATCGATAGGCCCTGAGGCGTGTTGACGCGGGAAAATGCATGAAATTAAATGAGGATGTACGTTTGATCCTATAATCCTTGAGGCGTGTTTACGCGAGGAATTGGATTTGTCTTGAGGCGTGTTACACGAGACAATGCCTGGATAAACCGGAGGACCGTCAACTTGATGCGTCTTTACGCGAGTCGTACCGTAGACTTGATGCATGTTACGCGAGTCGTACGATGAGGTGGGCCTGAGGCGTGTTATGCAGTCAGTATTGATCGGGGTGGACACATGTGTGTGTCGGAAGTTGAAAGATGTGAGCATGTGTAGAGATTGAGATTGGAATAGGTTGGAATGTTATTATGGATGCATGTGTAGGAAATTGGTTGTATCTTGGAGTGCATGTGCATTGAGAAGTTGGTTATGTTATTGCGATCCAACTAACGTGCAGGGTTATATATGCATTGAGGTAAGGCTAGAGAGTGCCTTTGAATGTTATTGCATGTTGATTGAATGTGTTTGGTGTTATTCTATTTGTCTAGAGGTATGCGTTAGCCTAGGTGGGATTTAGGGTGCTTGCTTATTGAGACTCGTTCTCATGGTCATTATATAACCATTTCAGACCCTCGACCCCGACCATGAGTGATCTACTGGATCGTTTTGGGATCCCGAGGCATATGGAGCACTCGGTGATGGAATATCTTGTAGGAGAGGAGGAGGCCTATATTAAGCATACTACTGTGGTGTGGGTAGATATGGGTGGACAAATGCTGCAGCCTAATACGTATCAGGCTTACTATTATCGGGATTTATACGGCGTCTATGGACCACTTCGGGGCATTGATGTTCCGTTTAGTGGGGTAGGTGAATGGGACCCCTCAGCGGCTCTCGCTCCCGACGGTATGGTCACGAGCCCGGATACCACCCCCGAAGATTTCGACCCTCGGCCGGTGATAGTGGAGTCCGACATCGACGAGTAGTCCATGGAGTCAGAGCCGGAAGAGGAACTCGAGGAGGCCATCCCAGATCCAATGGAGTCCGATCTTGAAGAAGAGCCAATGGAGGAGGAGTCCGAAGAGGAACCTATGGAGTCAAAGCCTGAGTCTACGAGTTCCGACTTGGATTGGGAGCCGTAGCGGTGTCTTAGTGCTAAGTCTAGAAACCCTTTTTATGGGCCCTTTTTTGTATAGCTAGGCTAGCCTACCCGACCACTTGTCCCTTTTTTATGATGGTGGTTTTAACCCTAGTGGCCTTTAGTTTGTAAGGTTGGCTTTTGTAAGTACGTGCCATTGAATGAAGTATGTGGTTGATTTGTTCAAGTGTTCTCTTACTCCCCTTGGTCTTTAATCTTGTCTGGGTGTTATAATTGCTTCTGCGTGCGTTCAATGTTTTGAAGTTTCGTTTAAGTCGACGACAAGTCCTGGGACGTCGCATTCGAAATACAACCACGGTGGGTTATCGTGGGCTCGGCGGGGTCCGGGGCGTGACATCCCCGACCACCCCCAAAGATTCCGACCCCCGGCCGGTGATAATGGAGTCCGACATCGACGAGGAGTCCATGGAGTCAGAGCCGGAAGAGGAACCCGAGGAGGCCATCCCAGAGCCAATGGAGTCCGATCCCAAAGAAGAGCCAATGGAGGAGGAGCCCGAAGAGGAACCTATGAAGTCGGAGCCTAAACCAGCGAGTTCCGACTTGGATTGGGAGCCGTAGCGGTGTCTTAGTACTAAGTCTAGAAACCCTTTTTGTGAGCCCCTTTTTGTATAGCTAGGCTAGCCTACCCGACCACTTGTCTTTTTTATGACGGTGGTTTTAACCCTAGTGGCCTTTAGTTTGTAAGGTTGGCTTTTGTAAGTACGTGCCATTGAATGAAGTATGTGGTTGATTTGTTTAAGTGTTCTCCTACTACCCTTGGTCTTTAATCTTGTCTGGGTGTTATAATTGCTTCCGTGTGCGTTCTATGTTTTGAAGTTTCGTTTGGGTCGGCGACGAGTCCTAGGACGTCGCATTCGAAATACGACCACGAAGTGATATCGCGGGCTCGGTGGGGTCCGGGGCGTGACAACTGATCTCGAAATGTGGGATGTGATCTCACATGGCGTAGAAGTACTTGCACTAGCTGCTGCTCGGAGAGATGGTCAACAAGCTCTAGCAGAAAATGTTGCTGCCAATGCTCTTGCAGCACATAACAAAGAGGAAGCACGAAGAAGAAGAGCATTTCATAATGCTAAAGCTAAATATCTTCTATAATATTCTCTCTCTATGATTGAATATAACAAAATTTGTACGTGTGTCACAGCTAAAGAAATTTGGGATCTACCGGAACTCACATTCGAAGGAACTGATAGAGTAAAGGAAACGAAGCTGAACATCCTCCTTGGACAGTATGAGTTCTTCAAGATGACCTAAGATGAAACAGTAGCAGAAATGTTCAACAGGTTCATGGATATAGTGAATGGTCTTGCACATCAAGGAAAAGTATTCACCAATGGAGAAAAGGTGAACAAAGTGCTGAAAACCTTACCAAAAGAATGGAAAAATGTTAAGACCTTAGTTCGAGAAACAACGAGGATTCAACCAATCACGTTGGAAGAACTGATTGGAACATTCACGTCCTATGAAGTAGAACAACAAATTGAGAAAGATAGCTCAAAAGGTAAGAAAGTTATAGCATTTAAGGCTAACAACAATGATGCATGTGATCAATTGTCATCAGAAGATGAAGGTAATGATGAAGACATGGCATTGTTCACTCGAAGATTTAACAGCCTCATGAGAAAGGGAGGAAACTTCAAAGGCAAATGACAAGTGAAGTTCCCTGAAGAAAAGAGACTCTACAAAAGCAAGGAAGAACTCAAAGTTAGAGATCTTGTCTATTATGAATGCAGAAAACCAGGTCACATAAAGCCAGATTTCCCATTGCTCAAAAAGAGGAAAGGAAAATATAAGAAGAAGAAGGAAACGCTGAAACCCGAAACATGGAGTGAGTCAGAATGTGAATCTAGCGACAAAGAAGAAACAAATCTTTGTGTAATGGCCAACTCAGATCATGAAGAAGAAGATGAGGTAAATTAGCTTCAACTATCTTACGAAGAAATACAGGATTTTTTAAAAGAAATGTTTGAAGAACACAAAAAGGCTTTAAAAAGAATTTCTATTTTGAAAAATGAAGTCTTTGATCTTACCACAGAAAAACTTGCTTGTTAAACTGCATTTGATAACTTGAAAAAGGACTATGACCTCCAAGAAATTGAAGTTAAGCTTTCTCAAGTTGAGAATGACTCTCTCAAGAAAGAGATTTCAAAAATTAGCACAAAGTTTTCTCTTGGTTTAGAAACCTTGGAGCACATTCTCTCAATTCAGATTCATCACTACAACAAGTGTGATTTAGGACACAAGGAAAATGAAAATGAGAAGAATCCATCTTCAAAATTCAAGGAAAGATTAGCTAAACGACCTCCTGCATATCGTTACAAGAGTCATTACATAAAACACTCCACCATATCCTCTGGCATGCAATTTCCTGATTGCTCAATCTGCAATGAATATTGCCATTTCAAGTTAGAATGTCCAAATAAGCATATGAGGCCCAAAAAGGTTCGCGTGAGATTTGATAATGTTTCCAAATCTAACACTAAACGCAAGTTTAAGTGGGTACCAAAGAAAAGATTAGAATCTCTCTCAATGTAGGTAGTCTTGAAGAAAAACAAATGGTATCTAGACAGCGGATGCTCACGACACATGACGGGAGATAGTTCCAAATTTATAAGTCTCGTCACCATAGACGGAGGCTCTGCCACCTTTGGAGAAAAAAACAAAGGAAGGATCATCGAAAAACAAAACATCAGGTTAGGAAATCTGATCATTGAAGATGTTTCTTTAGTCAAAGGACTGGGTCACAATCTTGTAAATATAAGTCAACTTTGTGACAAAGGATACAAGATCGGCTTTGAAGAAGGTAAATGTATTGGTCTAAGCCAAGACAAATCCCAATCATTTACAGGTAAAAGGTATGGTAACATCTACTTGCTAAATATGAATTTTGATGATGTCCAATGCCTAATGTCTATAAACGATGAATGTGACCTCTGGCACAAGAAATTACGTCACATCAATACTAAGCAAATTACTAAGATCTCATCAAAAGATCTTGTTCGTTGTCTTCCAAAAATCAATTTCAGCAAATGTGACTCATGCAATGCATGTACTCCGGGAAAGTAGGTCAGATCATCTTTTAAGTTAATAAATACAATTGCAACTAACCGATCTTTGCAGCTCGTGCACATGGATCTATTTTGACCTACAGGGACCATGAGTCTAGGTGGAAAAATGTACTGTTTGGTGGTTGTTGATGATTACTCAAGATTTACCTGGATAATATTTCTATCTCACAAGAATGAAGCATTTCATTCATTTGAGAAATTTGCTCGAAAGATCCAGAATGAAAGAGGATATAGTATCACAACAATAAGAACAGACCATGGAGGTGAATTCGAAAATCAAATGTTTACTAATTATTACGACAAAAATGGAATAGAACACAATTTCTCCACAGCATACACTCCTCAACCGAATGGAGTTGCTGAAAGAAGAAATCGCTCTCTACAAGAAATGGCTAGAATCATGATGATTGAAAGCAGTACACCTACATATTTCTGGTAGAAGCAGTTGCCACCGCCTGTTACACATTGATCAGAGTACTACTAAGACATTTGATGGAAAAGACTCCTTATGAAGTCTTCAAAGGAAGAAAGCCCAATATATCATATTTCCATGTATTTGGTTGCAAATGTTTCATTCTCAAAAATAAGAATAATAACATTGGGAAATTTGATGCTCGTGCAAGCGAAGGTATTTTTCTGGGATATTCAATTACTAGTAAAGCTTATCGTGTACTCAATAAAGATTCACAAGTAGTGGAAGAATCCATAAATGTGAAGTCCAAAGATGAACAGAAGGGGATACAAGCAAATGACTATGATGAAATCATGCTCATACCTTCTCCCACCAATCAGCAACAACAGCACCAAAATGCTGGTGTTTTCAAATAGAAGTCAGTTTCCAAAGATTGGAGATACAAAACAGAGCACCCCAAAGAGCAAATCATTGGAAGTATAAATGAAGGAATCAAGACTAGATCCTCACTCAAAAATATGATGAATTCCTCCCAAAAGAATCAAAGAAGCTATTTCTGACGAAAGCTAGATAGAGGCCATGCAAGAAGAATTGCATCAATTCAAACTAAACGAAGTTTGGGAATTAGTGCAAAGACCCATAGATAATCCAATTATCAGAACAAAATGGGTATTCCGAAACAAACTTGATGATAAAGGTAATGTAACTCGCAATAAAGCAAGATTAGTTGCGAAAGATTACTCACAAGAGGAAGGTATTGATTTTGATGAAACCTATGCTCCTGTTGCCAGACTGGAAGCTATACGATTATTAACTGCCTATGCATGTTTTTACAATATTCATCTTTATCAAATGGATGTCAAAAGTGCTTTTCCTAATCGTTACATTAAAGAAAAGGTTTTTGTTGAGCAACCACCAGGTTTTGAAAACTCAAGCAGAACAAAGGATGTCTTCCACTTGAACAAGCCCAAGAGTTTGGTATGAAAGATTAAGTACATTTCTAGAAGAACATGATTTTGAGAAAGGTAAAGTGGATACTACCCTATTCATCAAAAAGGAGGGTAAAGATCTTCTTATCATACAAATATATGTTGAAGATATAATTTTCGGATCCACTAACGAAGATCTGTGCAAGGAATTTGTAAACATCATGAACAGTGAGTTCGAGATGAGCATAATTGGATCATTCAATTTCTTTCTTGGCTTTCAAATAAAGCATATAAAAGATGGCACCTTTATCCATCAAGAAAAATATGCCAAAGAGATTGTGAAGAAATTCGGTCCGGAAGGAAGCAAAAAAGTGGAAACATCAATGTCTGCTACTATCAAGCTGGACAAGGATGAGAAAGGTAAATCTATTAACTCCAAGCTATATAGAAGCATGATTGGTTCCTTATTATATCTAATAGCATCTAGACCAGATATATTATTTGAAACATGTCTATGTGCACATTTTCAGTCTGATCCAAAAAATCTCACCTATCGGCTGTTAAACATATCATTCGATACATTGGCTCATATCCGAAGTTAGGTATCTGGTATCCTAAGAATTCAGATTTCACACTACTTGGATACTCGGATGTTGATTATGCATGATGCAAAGTCGATCACAAAAGTACATATGGTACTTGTCAATTATTAGGAAATATGTTGATCTCTTGATTCTCAAAGAAGCAAAATACAGTTGCTCTCTCAACTACGGAAACTGAATATATAGCACTAGGTAGCCGCTGTGCACAACTTATTTGGATGAAACAGCAACTTTGTGATTTTGGAGAAGCAGATGCAATCATTCGTGTATTGTGTGACAATACAAGTGCAATTAATCTATCAAAGAATCCCATATTACATTCTCGTGCCAAGCATATTGAAGTGAGACATCACTTCATCAGAGATCTGGTAAACAATGGAGACATCTCCATTCAGTTTATTAATTCGAAACATTAGTTGGCTAACATCTTCACTAAGCCACTGGACAAACAAGCCTTCGAATTTATCAGAGGAGAGCTGGGAATGTGCAATCCAGTTGAATAAATCAGGTAATCTTCATCAACTCACTGGAAATATCTGCTAGGCAA